TTGGCAGAATTATGGCCTTATAGAGATTAAATATGGTTAAAGGAGATGCTTATGGGTACACCAAGGTGACAAGGGGCAGAATTTGTAATGGTTAATTTTATGTGTCAGCCTGACTGGGCTAAGGGATGCCCAGATAGCTGGTAAAACACTATTTTGGGGTGTGTCTGTGAGAGTGTTCTAGAATAGATTAGCATTTGAATTGGTAGACTGATTGATTAAAGAAGATTGCCCTTACCATTGTTGGCAGGGATCAGTCAATCCATTGAGTACCTCAAAGAGAAGAGCAAAACAAAACATTGTGGGAAGGGCAATAGCTTTCTCTGAGCTGGGACATACCTATTCTCCTGCCTCTAACATCAAGGCTACTGGTTGATTCTCTGGCCTTTGGACTTGCTTTCCTGGTTCTCCAGTTTGCAGACATGGGACTTCTTGGACTTCATAATTGCCTGAGCCAATTCCCATAATAAATATCTCTCTCTCTCTCTCTCTCTCTCTCTCTCTCTCTCACACACACACACACACACACACACACACACACACTCGCATACATATGTCTTCTATTAGTTCTATTTCTCTGGAGAACCATAGTTAATACAGAGGGAGAAAAGATTGACACAGATGAAGTATATGTTCTCAGTTAGTTATATGGTGGTACCTGCCTACCCTTCCCTACTTCATTAGAACTCACTCAGAAGAGGGAGAGGGACACAAAATAAAAGTGGTCTTCCTGCCTTCAGTAGTAGCATATGTTGAACATAATCTAATTTATTCTTGATGATCCAGGGTAGTTGTAACAAATGAGCACAATTGATCTCTATATAATAAAATGATGGCTTTGAGTTTTAAAGGTATGCACGGCCTCTCAATAAAAAATAATAAATGCTTATAAAGTTATTAGTGTATGCCAGGCACTCAGTGGATTGTATTGATTTCCTGGTTCATGTTTAGTCTTCACTGCTCAAGTTTTCACCTCTATTTATAAGGCACTTGTAATCATAGTCAGTATAAGGTAAGTGCTCTAGAAACTGCCTGGTTTTAAGTGCTGGCCCCAGCACTTACTGGTTAGGCGATGTTGGCAAAGTTACCTACCTTCTCTGAGGTTCATTTTCTTCATTTATACAGGATTATATGAGTACATATATGTAAACATTTATGTATATATAAGATGTCCCTGACACATTTTCTATTCCCCAGCCTATCACAAGGACACAAAGACTTATTTCCCACCTATATGGCTCCATTGCCATCCACGATTGGAACATAGCCATAAAATGACAGTAACAGTAGTATCTTTCTAAAAGAGTTATGAGGATTAAATGAGATGATTCACATAAACCGCTTAACACAATGGCACCTAAACCCTCTAAATGTTGTGCCTTACTGTATTACTGTTTGTAAGTTTGAAATAATTAATTGAAGTGCCTAGGGGAAGCCAGATAACAAAACATATTAAATTAATAACCTTTAATATTTTGTAGGGGCTTAAGTCTCTAAGTGGGCTAGGAGGGTGTGGGGAGGAACTATTAAAAAAATCTGTAGAGATAAAGACAAAAAAGGTAGAATGTGATACATGCCAAATGGGTGGTACAAAGTAATACTGGGAGTTTACAGGAGAAAGTGGGCAGTTGTGTCTGGTAATCAAGAAAGATGTCATGGAAAAGGTAGCCTGTATTGGGCTTGAAGATGAGAGGGTTTCAACAAAAATGTTACATAAGCTAACCTCTTTGCCCTTCTTTGCTGTGGATTGTAACAAAGTATGACAGCAACTTTCTGATCATTCCTGAACCTTCAAGGACTCTACTTACAAGTAATGGATTAGTGTCTTTGGTGAAAATGTGCTGACGAGCTGCAGAATCCTACCTCCCTATTTAGATGTGACCATAGGCCTTCAGTCCTAAAGCAGAGTAGAAAGTTAAATAACTTCCTTGAGATTCAGTTTCTTAAATGCTAATGTTTGTTCATTTAAAAATCAACAGTCACCATCACCTTCCCGTAATAGCATCTGAGACTGAAGAGGCTGTGGAGGCCACTAAGGAATCCTTTCCTGGCTTTTCTGGCCAGCATGGACTCTTCTTAAGTGTCAGGAGATAACCACTTTCCAAGATAGGCCTAGCCAGTATTCTTGAATATCTGCCCTACATGAAAGGCCATACTTATAACCAGTAGAACTCAGACTCTTCGTGGCAAACTTCCATACAACAGATCACCCTTTTACTTGAAGTAACGGCTCATCATCTTATTATTTTGCAGGGTCAATAGCATTAATTTCCTTTACCTTCAACTATAAGCCAATAAGGGTTTCTATAAGGCTAAGTCAATTCTGTTAACACTGCTTGTCTGCATGCATATTTCCTCCCTTAAAATAACTCTAATAGTTAATTACCCAGTTAGAAAACATTATGTCTTCCTTTCAATATGTTTATTTAATGATTCCATTGTAGAATTACAACATTTGCTAAGATCCTATATAGTTTAAAATTTTTCATTTCTCTATGCTTCCCCATTTGTTGATAAAGATTCATAAAGGCATTTATAGACACTCTAAAAGTTAACCAGATACTACCTTTTAAAAAATAAACCACCCTAGAAGAAAACCTAGGCAATACCATTCAGGACATAGGCAAAGACTTCATGACTAAAACGCCGAAAGCAATGGCAACAAAAGCCAAAACAGACAAATGGGATCTAATTAAACTAAGGAGCTTCTGCACAGCAAAAGAAACTATCACCAGAGTGAACAGGCAGCCTACAGAATGGGAGAAACATTTTTCAATCTGCTCAACTGACAAAGAGCTAATATCCAGAATCTACAAAGAACTTAAACAAATTTGCAGGGGAGAAAAAAACCAACTCCATCAAAAAGTGAGTGAAGGATATGAGCAGACACTTCTCAAAAGGAGACATACAGCCAACAAACAAGAAAAAAAAGCTCATCATCACTTGCCATTAGAGAAACGCAAATCAAAACCACATTGAGATACCATCTCACACAAGTTAGAATGGCTATCATTAAAATGTCATGAAGCAACAGATGCTGGAGAGGATGTGGGGAGATAGGAACGCTTTTACACTGTTGGTGGGAATGTAAATTAGTTCAACCATTATGGAAGACAGTGTGGCAATTGCTCAAGGATCTATAACTGGAAATGCCATTTGACCCAGTGATCTTATTACTGAGTATATACCCAAAGGATTATAAATCATTCTACCATAAAGACACATGTACATATATATTTATCACAGTACTGTTCATGATAACAAAGACTTGGAACCAACCCAAATGCCCATCAATAGACTAGATAAAGAAAATGTGGCACATATACACCATGGAATACTGTGTAGCCATAAAAAGGATGAGTTTCATGTCCTTTGCAGGGACATGGATGATGCTGAAACCATCATTCTCAACAAACTAACACAAGAACAGAAAACCAAACACTGCATTTTCTCAGTCATAAGTGGAAGTTGAACATCACACACCAGGGCCTGTCATGGGGTAGGGGACTATGGAAGGGATAGCATTAGGAGAAATATCTAATGTTGATGGGGTGATGGATGCAGCCAACCACCATGGCATGTGTATACCAATGTAACAAACCCGTATGTTCTGCATGTGTACCCCAGAACTTGAAGTACAATTTTTGAAAACACTGTTTTATCTAAAGAAAGCAAAAACACAAAAAACTGTGCAAACCTACTCCCTACTAAACAGCTCTGTTCCTGTAGTTTGGGAGCAGAAATTTAAGTATGCAAAGTTCTATTTCTATAGTTCCAATAAAATAATAGAATTTCCCAGTTGAAAAATGTCTTAAGCCTCTCCTCTCCTTCCTAGTTCCACTAAAATAGCCATTGAATAGTATTGGGTATTTCTTTCTTAGAAAAGGATATATATTTCCAAATATATTTTCTATGTATTTGTCAGAAAAGAAGATCAAATACATGTGTTTTTAGGCTTTTTTCTTTTTTTGGAAACAGAGTCTAGCTCTGTTGCCCAGCTTCAAGCATCCTACCTCAGTGTCCCAAGTAGCCGGGACTACAGGCACACATCACAATGCCCAGGATGTGGGCATTTTTATTATTTGTCGAGATGAGTTTTCTCTGTGTTGCCCAGGCTGGTCTTGAACTCCTGGACTTAAGCAATCCTCCTGCATCAGATTTGCGTTTAGTCTTTACAGTGATTAAGAAGAAAGAGAATAAAGCACCAACCTAGTTTTTTAATGATTATCTTATAGATCTAGGTCTGCTATTTACAAGAAATAGGAGAGAGGCAGAATCTCTCCCTGCCTGAAATTCACAAGTCCAGGGCAGTAGTGAGAGAGTGGCAGAATCTCCACTAGAGGGTATGTAGACAGCCAAACACAACGACTCTGTGTGAAGCTGTGAGCAAGCAGGCAGGAAGAGCAATATCCTTGTACAGTATACAGTGACTGCCACTATGCTTGGAAAAGAAAATGAAAAAACAATGAATAAAGCTTAGACTTTCAGAGCTATACATGAGCAAATGAGCAAATCTAAACTTGTTCATATGATTCCACATTGTTCTTGTACCCTCTTTGAGTACAAACAATCCTGTATCACATGATCCTCGCTTTATATAAATTGTTATCAGGAATCACAGTTATCAGGAATACAAAACCTTATGCTCTGGATGTGTTATAGATACTAAGAATAGTGTCATACTATGCTGAGCTCATGGCAGCCCCTCTAGAGGAGAAGTTCAAGATCCAATTCTTTCACTTCAGAGGAAGCTGAGACCCACAGAGTGCAATGACCTGCCACATGTTAGTAGCATTAGAATTCACTCCCCAAGATTTATTCGTGTTGTTTCTGCTCTTAATGTTATCCGATTTATTGTCTCCTGGATATTGTCATGTAATGATAAGGGCAGCAGAGAAGTTTAGGGTAAATTACATCCTAAACCCAAAGTACCTTAGAATTTGAAGAATCAGATAAACTCATAAACAGCTTTGCTGATCTTTGGCCTCTTGTCTTTTTTTCAGACTCTGAACTTGCCTTGATGTACAATGATTCCTCAGTCTTAGAGAACCATCATTTGGCCGTGGGCTTTAAATTGCTTCAGGAAGAAAACTGTGACATTTTCCAGAATTTGACCAAAAAACAAAGACAATCTTTAAGGAAAATGGTCATTGACATTGTAAGTAGCTGATAAAAGCAAAAAAGAGAGAACTGTGATACAAGTTGTTTAGGTAAAAGGAACTGCATTTCACAACGTATTATTGCCCTTTATGTTACAGAAGCTGCCCCCGATGCTGGCAGTGATGTTCTATAATAGGTTTTTCACTTCCAGCAGTTTGGAGTTGAGAATAATGTTAGCTCACCGTCATCATTTGTTTTCTAAGCCCCTCCAGTTTAGTGGCAGGCAGAGAAAGGTGACTAACAAAAGCAGATTGCATGGGCCACAGCTCTCATCAGTAGACAGTGCCATTTAGAATATCCATGACTTTACTCTTTTGTCTGTGCATCTTATTCAGTGATTATGAGACACAGGAAAATCTCTAGCTTTCAAAACATTACTCTGTTAAACCTTATACACACAAAGGCAAGAATTATCTGTATTTTCAAAGCAGAAAATAACCAGAATATTTTGTTTCTGAAGCAGTCTGTAAGCAACCTTGAATCAGTTCGTCATTCATAGTCTAGTAACCACTTTCTGGTCCAAGGAATGGAAAAACTTGAAAACATGTGATGATGCCTTATCCATGGAAATATTATCCCATTTTTCACCATGAAAGTGGCTGTCACTACCTAACATTTCTGTATATTACACACATTTATCTGGGCTTTGAGAAAACTTGATAGCAAAAGGGAAAAGACTGCTCTAAGAAAGAGTAAGGGATTTTCATATGTAAATTTTGTTTTCTTTGAACTTTACTCAATAATATACTCTTTATATTTTAAGGTACTTGCAACAGACATGTCAAAACACATGAATCTACTGGCTGATTTGAAAACTATGGTTGAAACTAAGAAAGTGACAAGCTCTGGAGTTCTTCTTCTTGATAATTATTCTGATAGGATTCAGGTAAAGCCTTATTTTGAGTTTGCTCTGTGTGTGTCTGTGTGCATGTGCACATATGTCTGTGTGTTCAGCTTTGAGAAGATGTATTTCTTTCTTCACCTTGTACTTTTAACAATTATAGGCAGCATTTTTATCCAAATTTTTATTTGCTGAGAATTAACCAGGTAAAATTCTACTGGTCTTTTAATTTGCATCTATATTAATTAAAAAAACTAACACCCCACAGAACCAGCCACTTAAGCAGTTCTGAATCTAATCAACCAGTTTCTGTTATGCTATTTAGATGCTGTAGAAGTGGCATAATTTTGAACTATTAATACAAGTGTGAACCACACACAGACACATCATGGTTGAGCTGTTTGGAATAAATCTTACACTACACTTATTTTTAAGTGTTGCAATCATCCAATGTGAATTTCTAGTGTTTTTTGTTTTTTGTTTTTAAAAAAAGGAAGAGGAGTGACTAGCGTATGCATCCATCTATTTTAGGTTCTTCAGAATATGGTGCATTGTGCAGATTTGAGCAACCCAACAAAGCCTCTCCAACTGTACCGCCAGTGGACGGACCGGATAATGGAGGAGTTCTTCCGCCAAGGAGACCGAGAGAGGGAACGTGGCATGGAGATAAGCCCCATGTGTGATAAGCACAATGCGTCTGTGGAAAAATCACAGGTAATACATGAGATGTACAGCTTTCAGAGAGAACGGAGCCACCGCTTTAGCATTTGGTTACTTTGTATCACATATGCTAGTATTTTATTGGATTTTTAAAATTACTTTGTTTTTGACACTCAGTTTCACCTTAGTATTTGTGATCCAAAAAACTTTCATTCTTATGACTTACATTCATATAGTCATATATCTATTCTAAGAACACATTTATCATGACTATATTCATTTAATATATGCATATACAAATAGCACATGTCATTACTTCAGTTATCTGGATTCACTGACAAATTGGGATTCTAAAATAAGCCCTACCATGTCAACAACTGGAAAATTTTTTATGCTACAAACATGCTCTTTAACCAAGGGTTCTAGAAGCTAATTTTGACCAGCTAGTAACAATATTTTATATGGTCTGTTGTTGAAAATAGTGACAATTTTACCAAACTAAGCGTAGTCATCTTCTGTTCAGTGTTTTATTTGTGGGTCATGATCTAGTTAAGCTTTTCCATTATTTCTTAGTCCCAAGTCCTCATACTGGATTTTTTTCTTAACTAGGTGGGCTTCATAGACTATATTGTTCATCCCCTCTGGGAGACATGGGCAGACCTCGTCCACCCTGACGCCCAGGACATTTTGGACACTTTGGAGGACAATCGTGAATGGTACCAGAGCACAATCCCTCAGAGCCCCTCTCCTGCACCTGATGACCCGGAGGAGGGCCGGCAGGGTCAAACTGAGAAATTCCAGTTTGAGCTAACTTTAGAGGAAGATGGCGAGTCAGACACAGAAAAGGACAGTGGCAGTCAAGTGGAAGAAGACACTAGCTGCAGTGACTCCAAGACACTTTGTACTCAAGACTCGGAGTCTACTGAAATTCCCCTCGATGAACAGGTTGAAGAGGAAGCAGTAGGGGAAGAAGAGGAAAGCCAGCCCGAAGCCTGTGTCATAGATGATCGCTCTCCTGACACGTAACAGTGCAAAAACTTTCATGCCTTTTTTTTTAGTAGAAAAATTGTTTCCAAAGTGCATGTCACATGCCACAACCATGGTCACACCTCACTGTCATCTGCCAGGACATTTGTTGAACAAAACTGACCTTGACTACTCAGTCCGGCGCTCAGGAATATTGTAATCAGTTTTTTCACCTCCATATCATCAGAGCAAGGTGGACATCTTCATGAACAACATTTTAACAAGATTTCAGCTTAGTAGAGCTGACAAAGCAGATAAAATCTACTCCAAATTGTTTTCAAGAGAGTGTGGCTCATCAGGTGGCCCAAAAGTTGATTGGATTTGGGGTTTGTTTTTTTTGTTGGCAGTATTTTCAGAAGAAAGGCATTGCACAGAGTGAACTTAATGGACAAAGCAACAAATATGTCAAGAACAGGACACAGCATGAATCTGTTACCAGAGGAGGAGGATGAGCCACAGAAATTGCATAATTTTCTAATTTCAAGTCTTCCTGATACATGACTGAATAGTGTGGTTCAGTGAGCTGCACTGACCTTTACATTTTGTATGATATGTAAAACAGATTTTTTTGTAGAGCTTACTTTTATTATTAAATGTATTGAGGTATTATATTTAAAAAACTATGTTCAGAACTTCATCTGCCACTGGTTTTTTTCTAAGGAGTAACTTGCAAGTTTTCAGTACAAATCTGTGCTACACTGGATAAAAATCTAATTTACGAATTTTACTTGCACCTTATAGTTCATAGCAATTAACTGATTTGTAGTGATTCATTGTTTTATATATCAATGACTTCCATATTTTAAAACAGAAAAACAAGTTTATGTTGCAGGAAGCCCTTTTTGTAAGTATTTAGTTACTTTGCATTTTGTTTCACTCTTTCCAGATAAGCAGAGTTGCTCTTCACCAATGTTTTTCTTCACAGTGTGCAAAGTAACTATTTGTTCTATAATATTTTAATGTGTGTTATATCAAATGTGTCTTAAGCTTCATGCAAACTCAGTCATCAGTTGGTGTTGTCTGAAGCCAGTGGGAGATATATAAATACCCAGTAGCTAAAATGGTCAGTCTTTTTTAGATGTTTCCCTACTTAGGGTCTTCTAATAACATTTTGCTGTGTCACAGATGATATGCATTTCACAAGTGCGTGTCTTTCTAATAATCCGCACATTTCATGCTCATTTTTATTGTTTTTACAGCCAGCTACAGTAAGAAAAAGGTTTTTCCCCTCGTGCTGCTTTATAATTTAGTGTGTGTGTGAACCTCCGTCCATGGTTGCTCGATGAAGTCTTGTCAAATATATCACCACCATTGTGACAGGTGAAAAGAAACAGTCAAATTAGGATTAACATTCATTTCAGCCATGAGGTTGTATATCATGACTAGCTTTTACTCTTGGTTTACAGAGAAAAGTTAACAACAGCTAACTAGGCAGTTTTTAAGAATATTAACAATATATTAACAAACACCAATATAACGAATCCTCTTTGGTTTTAATGATTTCACCATGGGATTAAGAACAGTATCAGGAACATCCCTGAGAGATGGTTTTAAGCATAGTAAGTACTCTGCCTTAATGGACAGCCACATAACATGTAGGAATTGCTTTATCACTTATTCTCGATCCATAAGCATACCTTGCAGAGGGGAACTACTTCTTTAAACACATAGAGGGAAAGAAGATGATGCCCCTGGAGGGTTGGTACTATGATGCATCCTAAAATATTAGATTGGTAAAAATTCTGCTTAAATAAAAAATTAGAGATCACTCTTGGATGATTCCAGCACCAGTAACTGTATTACAGTTTTAGATATTAATTCCCAGTGTTTACTGGATTATAGCAGTTAGCATCATGGGACATTTTTGACTTTATTCCCATGTCAGGTCAGTCTTTTTTTTTTTTTTTTTTTTTTTTTTTTTTTTTTTTTTTTTGAGACGGAGTCTCACTCTGTCACCCAGGCTGGGTACAATGGTGTGATCTGAGCTCACTGCAACCTCCACTTCCCGGGTTCAAGTGATTCTCCTGCCTCAGCCTCCCAAGTAGCTGGGATTACAGGTGCCCACCACTGTGCCTGGCTAATTTTTGTATTTTTAGTAGAGACAGGGTTTCACCATGTTAGTCAGGCTGGTCTTGAACTCCTGACCTCAGGTGATCCACCTGCCCTGGCCTCACAAAGTGCTAGGATTACAGATGTGAGCCACCATGCCTGGCCCTCTCATGTCAGTCTTAATAAAGTATTTACCTTCTCTCTGAAGACCTTAAAGCCCAAATAATCATGTCTCATGTTGATACTAAAAAATTGTGACGGAGGTCAAAGTGGGTATCTGACAAATGGAAAATCAAACATTTAAGAAGAATCACCATCCTGAAAAGCATTTATATTTGGAACGTCTCAAGAAGGCTTCTGGGGACTGGAAACTAAGTCATCAGCCAGGGAAATGACTCAAGCTGAAGAGAATCCCCATTTCGGTCTCCTGAGATCTAGCTGATGCTTAGATCCTTTGAAATAAAAATTATGTCTTTATAACGCTGATCTTTTGCATAGGGCAGAATAGGAATCAATGAGCTAATAAGATTTCTACTCTCTTTCCTCTATCAAACAGTAATCTTTCAAATAAAGACGTATGTTTGACCAAGTAGTTTCACAAGAACACTTGGGAACTTGTTTCCCTTTTAATTTTATTTGTCCCTGAGTAAGGTCAAGAAAGAAAGGCAGAGTCTAGAGTTTATTCCTCTTTCTAAAACATTCTCATTCCCTCTCCCTCCTTAAACTTAGTATTTCCCCCACAGAGTGCCTAGAATCTTAATAATGAATAAAATAAAAAGCAGCAATATGTCATTAACAAATCCAGACCTGAAAGGGTAAAGGGTTTGTAACTGCACTAATAAAGAGAGGCTTTTTTTTTTTTTCCAGTTTGTTGGTTTTTAATGGTACCATGTTGTAAAGATACCCACTAATGGACAATCAATTTGCAGAAAAGGCTAAATATCCAAGAGATGGGGACTAATGCACTGTACAATCTGCTTACCCTTGTGTTTCGCTCTCGCCAAAGTGTGCTTCAGAAATACACACTGCTTTAAAAAAGAATCTCCTTTTATGAGTGGCTTTACATTTCCTAAAATGCCATAAGAAAATGCAATATCTGGGTACTGTATAGGGGAAAAAAATGTACAAGTTTGCTTATAACCAGTGCATTTCAGCTTGCAAGTTACTGAACACAATAATGCTGTTTTAATTTTGTTTTCTTTTATATCAGCTAAAATTCACAAGAAAATAATGTAGATAGAACAAATTACAGACAAGGAAAGAAAAAACTTGAATGAAATGGATTTTACAGAAAGCTTTATGATAATTCTTGAATGCATTATTTATTTTTCGTGCCATGCATTTTTTCCTCACCAAATGACCTTACCTGTAATACAGTCTTGTTTGTCTGTTTACAACCATGTATTTATTGCAATGTACATACTGTAATGTTAATTGTAAATTATCAGTTCTTATTAAAACATCATCCCATGATGGGATGGTGTTGATATATTTGGAAACTCTTGGTGAGAGAATGAATGGTGTGTATACATACTCTGTACATTTTTCTTTTCTCCTGTAATATAGTCTTGTCACCTTAGAGCTTGTTTATGGAAGATTCAAGAAAACTATAAAATACGTAAAGATATATAAGTTTAAAAAAACATAGCTGCAGGTCTTTGGTTCCAGGGCTGTGCCTTAACTTTAACCAATATTTTCTTCTGTTTTGCTGCATTTGAAAGGTAACGGTGGAGCTAGGGCTGGGCATTTTACATCCAGGCTTTTAACTGATTAGAATTCTGCCAATAGCTGGATTTTACAAAACCACAGACAACCTCTGAAAGATTCTGAGACCCTTTTGAGACATAATCTCTGAAGTACTTCCTGCCAGGGAGTGGCACCACATGTGTGATGCTTGCTTGCCGCCTGTTGGTCAGGAGCTACTTCAGCTACTTGCATTGGATTATTTCCTTTTTTTTTTTTTTTTTTAAACTCAGAAACACAACAGGGGAAATACATTCTTTCCCAGTGATTATAAACAATCTTTTTTTAAAAGTCTTTTTGGCTTCTAGAGCTCATAGGAAAATGAACTTGATTTGAAATTCGAACCAGAGCTTACTCGTGTTGGTTAGTTATCTATTCATCAGTTTCCTGACATGTTTAGAGAATATACTAAAAAGAAAATACCATTTTTCAACCTTAAATTATCTTCTACTAAGATAAACCAAATTTCCTTATGTATATGTAAACCATTCTATTTAAACACAAAGTTGTGTCTGATGCCAGTTTACAGAGCATAAAGCATTCAAACAAATCCTCTAAGATTTGTTTCAGCAAAACTTGCATTGCTTTAGAATTTTAAGATTTAACCTTGTACAATGGCCAGCCCCTGAAAGCAGGAAAAATTTATTATGATGGATAATATGGAAGCATCCTCCCACCGCTTGCCCAGCCCTTCAATCACGTGGCTTTTCAGTGAAAGGAAAGATTCTTTTTCTAGGAAAAATGAGCCTCTTATTTTATTTTATTTTTTGACACAAACTGTAGATTTTAGCAGCCCTGGCCCAAAGGAATTTGATTACTTTTGTTTTAAACAGTACAAAGGGGACACTATAATTACAAAAATATCCTTTATTGATTTGAGTTGTTTTTATTTCTTTGGATATGTTTTCAGAGTGGTAAATTGTGTGTGAGAATTACAAATGATGATTCTTTTAGTGGTTTCTTAGCCTCTCTTACAGCCCACGGGGATAGTACTGTACATCAATACCTTCATATGAAATTTTTATATGCAATGAAAATAAAAGCATGGGTTGATTCTGCCTATTTATGACTCAATCTTTTACAAATAAAAGATTATTCATTTTAAATTATAGTTCAATCAGCACATTTCCAAGGATAATGAGCATGGTTGAAATGAAAGGAGAATAGTGACATCATAAGTTAGTATTGATATTCATAACCAAATGAAGCCAACTTGAGTAATTTTGCTACATTAAAAATTACCAAAATTACCTAGATGGCCTTTAAAATTAAGCATAGTATTTTCTAAATAAGGTTTGGAAGGGGCCTTCCATACTTAATTTAATATTCTAAGATATTGAAAATTATCATTTAAACATTCAACAATTATTTATTGGTTACCTCTTCTGCAAACTACAAGGTTTTAAGGACTCAACAATAAGTAAATGAGACACAGTGTTTGCTTTCATGGAACTTACAGTCTAGAGGGGACAAAAGCATTACACGATTCAATACTCATATAATTATAAATGTGGTCAGTACAACGAGAAGCTCAGTGTGGTGAATAAGCAGGAACCTGAATTTGATCTATTCCGGAGAGCCACGGAAGGCTTCCTTCAGGCCTTGAGAAAGTGATTTGTGGCTGATTTCTGAAGGATTGTAAGAGGTAACTAGGGAAAAAGTTGATAGGAAGAGGAAGGGGATCCAGACAGGAAAGATTTGCAAAGACCTTGAGGCATAAATGAGCTTGAGACATCCTGGGAAATGTAGGGAAAGCGAGAAGGAGGGCAGCCAGGGCCTGGAGCGGCAGAGCCGTTGCTAACCGTCCTGTGTTAGATATCCCCCACCCTGTAGCTTT